CTAAGCGCGGCCGAGCGCGCCGGGCTCAGTCGAAGCCGCGAGCCACTCCGAGCCTCTCCTTTAGCAGAGCCCCTCGCTGCCGGTCATGTCCTTGAGGAGCAGCCTCTCGCGTGTCCTCCGCTCGCAAGTGCCTTCTGTCCTGAAGAAATCCGTCCACTCCGTGGCCGTGATAGGAGCCCCTTTCTCTCAGGGACAGGTGACAGCCGGGATCCGGCACCGTGGGGCTGGATTCCCCGCCCCAGAACCCAGGGGAAGCGGCTGTGGGCCGCAGGCGGCCGGGAGGCACGGAGAGGAGGAAATGAGGCTTTCCCGAGAGGGAGGGAGGAAAGAATGGAGGGCATCCCGCATGGGGCGAGGGCAGTGGGCCCCGAGAGCCAGTGCTGCGGCCTCCGAAGAGCGAGGTCGATGCTACTGTTTGGTGTGATGGAGACCAGAGGAGGAGCGGGACCCGGCCAGAAGGAGGGGCACGAAGAGGAGGTTAAAGCAGACCGGGATCGGGGATCTGCTCTTCCAGAAAGAGCGTTAACAGGGGGTGCCATTGTCCCTGGCTGCGGCAGCAATAGGAGACGGGAGGGACTTTGTTCTCACTTTAGTGAAAGAAACCTGCAGTCGTGGGGGGTTCTGGCTCCAGCCAGCCACACGCATGCCTGGCCACCAGCTCCTAACCTAGCTCAACTCCTCGAAGGCCCAGCTCACAGCCGCGGGGTCCTGGGCTGGGAAGTTTGATTTGCATCTAGTGATTGTGTTTGTTTCCCCTATTTCCATGCAAGGGTTTGAAGACAGATGGCAGCTTGGCAGAGGAATCTGTTAGTAACCAAGAGTAGAGCTGCGAATTTCTGTATTTTTGTTAGACTATTCCCCCCCCCATTATCTTCTCTCACATGTGTGTTGATTTACAGAGAAAAAAAGGAGCGGAGTATGGCCCAGCTGCTATAAGAGAAGCTGGCTTGATGAAAAGGCTCTCCAGATTGGGTAAGTAGCTGGATGTTAGGTGTCTTTACAGGACCTGTAACGCAGTGTAGAGTCTTATCTTTTACATCCTGGCCCTACAGTGTCAGCTGTGTACTTGGGAACAGTCTATCACATCTACCAGTCTCTGGATTCCATCTGCAGACTAAGATCAGGGAGTCTTCAGGGCAAGTCCTACTGCAATGGAGTGTGTGAAAGGCAAGGAGGTGGTGCAAGGCCGGGGCTGGAGTAAGCTGCTAGCGGATGCAAAGTAGTGCTAAGAAGGCTAGCCCGGCTTTAACTGCATAGTCAGCCTTTCTCCCTTAAAATTCTAGCTTTCCTCAGTCTAGTGGTGCTTAGGAGCCATCTGTCTCGCCAGTTTCCCCTGTTCAAATCATTCATTTACTCTCTAGGGTTAACGGTTTTGTGTTACCGTAAGCAGGGTTTAGTTCTCTGTTTTTCAAACTACCTGATTATGACAGTCACCTGGGTTGTTAAGCGTAGTGTTCCTGGACTTCTCCAAAGAAAAGTTTGGTGCCTTGGTTCTAAGGTAAGACCTACCTATGCACTTTTTTTTTTCTTTTGGTTTTTTGAGACAGAGTCTCAATATGTAGTTGAGACTGACCTGGAACTCACTATGTAGCCCAGGCTGGTCTCAAACTCACGAGTGATCCTCCTGCCTCAGCCTCCTGAGTGCTGGGATTACAGGTGTGCTCCACCATGCCCCGGCTTCATATGCACATTTTAACAAGCATTCCAGATAACCAGTCTTAGAAGTTGCAGTCCTGTAATTAAGATATTACTTTGTTTTTAGGATCAGAGAAGAAATCTCACCAAAAGATAATGCCAGTACTGTCTATAGTAATGAAAACCTCTTCTTTTAGTACCGGGGCACAAAATTTCAATCCCTTATATAGAAGGAAGGTTTTTCCCTACATCTAACCATGTTTCTAGCTACTGCTCAAGGTCATTTCTTCCATTCTTGTTAGAACCATTTTACATATCTTTTCTGATACTGCACATGCAAAATGTACGGCAGTAGGGAGATCTGGAAATAGGAACATTGAATCAGAGTGAATTACTCTTATTCTGAAATTTCTGCTAATCGTCAGGCTGTTCCAAGGGTCAGTTGTCTCCTTTCCAAAATACCAAGAATAACGAATTCACTGAAATCACCTGACACCAAGGCCTCCTTCATATGTCTTCACCTATATGGATATGGTGACTTGGATTGAATACTCAAACTTTTCTCCGTTCAATAATTTCAGTTCTTCCTTCAGTACGGTCTCTTTCCTAGTCAGTTTGATAACTCCAACTTCACCACTAAAGGTGAAAGACGAACTGCTAAGATCTGGTCTTCATTATTTGGTGCTGGAAATCAAACCTCCAGCTGGCAAGGCAAGCGCTCTGCCGCTGAGCTATACCCCAACCCCTGGCTTTTTTTAGTGTGTCAGGAGGTACCTGATGGGAGGTTTTAATTCCTGCTCATTAGTGCATATCTCATCTCTTAAACTACCTTATACATAGTCTGTCTTTTTAAAGGAATCACTTTACACTGAAGACAACAATCTCTGGTAACCACTATTTTTAAATACTGGATAAATCTCCACAGCCCATCTGACGAACTGCACCAGTTGTGCCTTAAGAGATTCCTGACAAACAACAGTCTGAGCCTCTTTAAGAGGAGATCTTTATATTAAAAGTGCAGCCTGGGCTTCTGGGGGAGGGGAGGGCAGGGGAGGGGAGGGGCCTGCTTTCAACAGCTTCTCTTCATTTATAGAACTCCTTTCCTGTTGTGGCTCTTGGTAATTTTCCAGTTAAACCCAGGGGAAGCCTGTCTCTTTTAAATGTGATTCCCTCTACTTTTCCTCTTTATACTCCAACCTACAATGATGGTAAAGCTTCAGTTTATTGGTCTTGCGTTGTTTTCAAAATTTTTAGTTATTATATCCTTATCCTGTAGCTGATTGGTAGCCCGCCCTCACCAGCTGTCTGAAATAGAATCTCATTGCATATTAATAATGTGACACTCAGCAGGTTTCTAGCATGTGGTTTTGGCTGATCTCCTGGAATATGTTGGCGAAAACTACCAAGAGAAGTTTGAATTGCTTTATTCCTAAAGAGTACCAAAATACCTAAGTGCTTTGAGCACTTTCAAATTGGTGTGAGTTAAATTTGCTGGGTGAGAAGGCTTTGGATGTAACTTTCAAGAATCTCTTTGTTCTTTGCCTTTTGCTCTGAGGTCACAGGCTGCCCCTGTTACCTTGGCATCCGTTAAACTACCTGTTTTCTTGGATGAGTGTCTCTGACTTAGTGTCTGGACTTGTTTTTCCATTTCCCTGGGCTTAAGTAAGGACACTTCAGTTGGTTCCTGCAGGTAATGTAGTACATAAAAGGGGGCCTGAGAAAAATGAAGAGGCATTGCCCCAGCTTGGCTCAGAAGCAGTCGACTACTCCTGATTCTAATTAGCACTGATAGTGTTTGTCCTTTTCTCATTAGAAGTAGATGTAAGCCAGGATTAACACTTTGAGGCCTCTATTATTGTATTTATGGTTGGTTGTTGTTATTTTTTCCTTCTGGTGCTGGAGATTGGACCCATGCTAGATAAGCACTTTTAGCACTGAGCTACACCCTCACTTCTTTTAAGAATTTTATTTTGACATACAGTCTTAAGTTGCCAGGCTGGCCTCAAACTTAATGAAATGATCCTTCTGCCTCAGGCTCCTGCATAGCTGGGATTACAGGTATGCACCCCAACCCTGGGTACTTTTGGTAGCTTGACTCAGCTGTAGTAATAAAGAGGCTTAGGTAACCAAGACAACTGCCTAAACTGACTTGCCTCTGTGACCAGGCCATAGTTTCTGGAGTTCAAGAAACCATCTTGGAATTATTGTGGTTCCTCTCAACAGGGCTGTTGAATACTTGGGAGGCTAAGGCAGGAGAATTGCAAGTGCATCCTGCCTGGGCCACTTAGAAAGGCTGTCTCAAAATAAAAAAGAGTTAGGTATGTAGCTCAGTGTGAAAGCCCTGGGATTGGATCATAGTACTGCCCTCCCACCAATCAACTGAGCTAGTGACATTTATTCCTCCTGATCTACTTGGCATGTGCAGATAGGAGTCTCTGGTTGAAACCATATGAGACCTAAGAATCTGGTTTGCCTCCAAAGGAACTGTTGATGGATGGTGTGAGATAGTTGTTTAAACAGCAGGATCTTAAGCTGAGAGCTGTTGATTTGGAACTGATTGATATGTGAGTTCAGGCATCTGTATTTGCTTTCGGGTGGTTGGAAGAGAATATTAGGACCTGTAAATGGAGTGGGGTGATGGTGATGCTTTAGCTTGGCTTCCCTCCCAGCGTTCCATGGAACCTACCTTGAGCAGGCTTTCTGATTTGTCAGCCTTTGCTGTATTTTTCTGACAGCTGCCTGCTTTATTATTCCTGGAATCATCTCCTCTGATGCCCCGCACTCCACTCTCCCCTGGAGGCCGGTCTCCACCAAACTGACCTTCCTGGATCCCTTGTGTGGGGATCCTTTTCTTCCAGCCCTCAGACAAACATTCCTGCATGCATGGGTCTTCCTGGGTGTTTTCTCCTTGCCCGGAGGACCATCCTCCACTCCTGTACTCTTACAACTCTGCCCTTCCAGAAAGCCTTGCTGTTTCTCACCACTGTTCTCTAAAAAACATCTGCTCACTCAGATGTCTCAAATCCATCATATTCAAAATGAAGTTTATTTTCTCTTCTCCCTCAGACCTGCTTTTGCTGTTGTTTTTTTATTGTCCACTTCTCATTGTCACCCACTATCTACTAACTCAAGACAATCCAAAGACATCAGTTTTCTTTTTCTGTTTTGTCCCTCACACCTATTGACCAGTAAGTCTTGAAGACCGAACTTTCTTTTATTTTTTGGTACTGGGCATTGAACTCAGGTCCTTGTGCTTGCGAGGCAGGCACTGGAACCACTGAGCTAAATCCCCGGCCCTGCTTTTTGCTTTTTTAAAAATGAGGTTATTTTTAAATTTTGAGACAGGGTCTTACAGATAGATTTAAACTTTTTTTTTTTTTTTTTTTTTTTTTTTTTTTTTTTTTTGCGTTTTGAATCACGTCTTAAATTTTTTTTTTTTTTTTTTGGTACCAGGGATTGAACTCAGGCCTTTGCGCTTGTGAGGCAGGCAGTGGCACCACTGAGCTAAATCCCTGGCCCTGGACTTCAACTTTTGATCTCCCTGCCCCACAAGTGCTAGGATTGTGGGCATGTGCCACCACACCCAGCTTGCTTTTTTTCCCCCTTAGTACTCAGCACAATCTTCTTGTAAGTTAATATACTCGTTAGGTTATTTCCTTTGACCTGTCATCTCAGTTCCTTTGCATTTCAGCAGCTCCCTGTTCTCTCGGTGCTGTGAGTTTTGAACCATTATAATCCTTATAGTGATTTCTAAAAATAGCTTATCTGGAAGAAGAGTATTTTCAGGGGTGGGGCAGTAAGTGCAAAGATAAGGCAGAAAGGTACCCAGAATATTCAGGAACAAAACACCATTCCTGAGGCAGCATTGCCATACGTGAAGGGGTAGATCTAATCTCTTATCTCTGATTTTTTTAAAAAGAGACGTCTGCAATTTTATGGAACATCTGAGTTATTTCGAAACACTATATAGTAGTAACATCAGTGAAACTGGTGGCATAAAAGGAAATGAGCGCATTGGCAACAATTACCAGATCAAGCTTTTCAAAACTTTAGAAATTGATACTGAGGGGCCTGTGGAGTGACTGCTAATGGGTACAGGTTTCTTGTAGAGTTAGTGTTGATGGTTGTACAACTTTGTGAATGTATTAAAAACCAATGAATTGTAAATTCTAAGAGGGCAGATTTTATGATAAATGTATTTCATTAATAAAAGTGTATAGACATTTGTGATCAGTAAGAAATTTGAGACTTCTGAGTTGCTGATACCATTTTGTAATTTGGATATTACAGTATTTTAGCTTATAACAATTTGTTGTACATGTTTTCTTATATGGTGA